ATATAATATAATGTGTATTGTTTATTTAGTAAATTCTAGTAGTTTAGAAATGTTGATTTTTTTGTAAAATTTAAAAGAATAATTAAATAAATGTTACCACACCCAAAAATCCAAAAATCCATTTTTTTCAATGTATTCATAACTTCAGTTTCCTCTCTCGTGTGGCATCTGAAAGACATTAGTGACACAATGAAATACCTGAACTATTTAGTGTTTCAAATGGAAAGAAACACACCTAGTTACAKTGCATTTATCAAGAGCTGATATCTTCCTTAAAGCCCCTATTTTTCGCCAGCACTGCTGCCCTGAGGCGGGYGGTGATTCATTCTCGCAAGGGGAATGTTTGTGGTCTGGACCGAGTTCACACCAGCCGCCCTCCCATCTGTGGTTTGCAAGAATTATAAAATACGTTTCAACGGAGAGGCTGCAAAGCCAGAAGATCACCTAACAAATATGTTTGCATGAAATGAAGCAGAATTAATGGAGATAATTAATGTATGATCTCATCTCCCTGTTGACGGAGAAATGCGATAAATAGAAGTGATAATGAATGGGGGGGGGGGGGGAAGTAAAAGGGGAACGTTGGCAGGCAAAATATGTCATGTTTCTGAAAACATTCTTCATCGTCCTAAAGCTGTCTGGCCACTTTGCACTGTGAGGTACTGCTCCCTCAGGGTGCGGCTGCAGCCTCTTTAGAGTTTGATTTTTTTCCCCTTAAATTTATGAATGTCTGAACTCTAACGTGTTTTTATGTTTTATATACCTCCCATGAGAACAGTGTACTTACCTCTGTTATGAAATGTTTTTTTAAGTCTGCAAACAATAGTCAAAATTTGTCCAACACTGTAACTAGTGTTTCCATTAACTGAGCCACCTTGTAATTTGTATTCACATCATGAATTATCAAATGTTAATTTGAAAGAAAAAGAGCTGAATTAATGACAGCGTCTCAAATTATTATACTAAATAAAGTCTACATTTCTGCCTTATAGTCAAATGGAAAATTTAAAATATGAACCTGACTTTGTCTATATTTCATGCCACTAATAATTAACTTGTCATCTGCTGTTAGCCTGAGCTAAAAAGTGACATGCAATTGCTCTCTTTCCATCTCTTGCAAAGAAATATAGTCTTTTCCTCCTCACTGTCTTTCTTTCTTTGTCTGTCTAAGTTTAATCTTCCTGAAAGTCAAATCTGTTTTGGTTTGGAGTGTGCAACAAAGTTTCCAAAGCCTTAACGAAAGGAACGATGAGACCAAAACTCATGTTATATGGCATAATGAACAGCATGCATTCCAGCTCAATAACTTCATACGGATTTCATTATGTCTGTGGACTTACTCTAAAAAAAAAAAAAAAAAAAAAAAAAAAAGTAAAGAAATAACAAATCAGGCAGCTTCAGCTTTGTTTGCACAAACTCGAAGAAGGTCGTCTTTGGGTAACTCAGGTTTTGGTTGACCACTGGCATTCTCCATCCAATAACACGACACACCAAAGGTTGGAAATGCTGTGTGTCAAAAAATGCCTGGAATACAAGGAGGGTTTGCAGCTACGAAGCCACGGACTGTATTTCATGGATCTGATCCATCTTACACCAACAACAGAAGCTTTCCTCAATGATCCTCTAGAGCAGTGTTTCCCAAAGTTGGGGTCGGGACCCAAAGTGGGGTCYCGAAACATCAAGGTGGGGTCCTGAAAAGATTTTCTGAATTAATTACATTTTTGCCTTAGTTGTTACAAAGGGGTGAGGTTAGTATATTTAAAATGGATAAATGTAGTAAAAAATATTGTTACTATGCCCATGTTTAGTTGACCTGATACAAATGTTCATCATACAAAAATATCTGGGGGCACAGGTTTCTGCTACTGTTATTTTGTGTCAAAAGCTGAAAAGTTTGGGAACCACTGCACTTTGGTTCCCAAAGTTGGGCTTGGGACCCAATTATGGGTCATGAAGCACCTTGGATAAACTCCATAAATAAATTTAAAGGGTAATAAAGTAATTGCTGATGTAATATTTTCCCTATAACTATTACAAAAACACAAAATAAGTATRAGTAAGTATTTAAATTTGTGTACAAGCTGTTTAGATTGTCAAAAAATCTGTGTTTTTAGGGTTATCAATGAAGTTCGTGTACTCAGACCAGTAACATCTGGGGTCACAAGTTTTTGTCATGGATATTTTTGGGTCAGAAGATAAAAAGTTTGGGAACCACTGCTCCAGAGCAGAGGTTTTCAGTCTTTTTAGCTTCTGGCCCACAAAATAGCAGTTGCAGAAACTTGTGACCCCAGATATAATTAGTTTATGAGTGAAAAATTTACTAAAAACTCTGTTAATCATGGGCATATTAACAATATAAGCAAACCTAACATCTACAATACTACTTTTATTAATTTATTATTACAGTTGCATTTAAATTTCTGTTTAGAAGTCAGGACACTTTTTCTAAAATAACTGAAGTTACGTTCATAATGTACCCGTGGATGACTCTGTTTTGTAATGGGTTGTGTTATCTGACACAGTTTCACACCGTTCCACAAACCCAGTACTAAACTGTGCTACTTCAGTTCATAAACTCTTCTTTTACAGCCGTGGAAAATTGTACATTTTAACTACAGCTCTTGTTTTGCATCTATTTCTAACTCTTTAACAAGCCATGTGTTAACGTCTTGCTGTGAACTGTTCACACTTGACTGTGATGGGTGAAATTATTGCCTAATGAGCCTCTGAGGTAGTAGGGTAAGCTTTTAAATCTTTTAAAAAGCTTTTCAAAACAAAGGACAGTTAGCTGAGTTTTTTTCTAGGTTTTGCTTTGTCCAGCCTGAAAATGTCACAGAGCAATGAACTCACCATGGATGTATTTGTGTGGTTTTTTTTTACAGCATGGATGTACAATAAACCAATTTTTGAGGTATGCAGGAAATGCCTCCTGAAATCTTTTGTGCAACGTATTTGTGAACATCCACCATTTGGTTCATTAAAAGCAAATGTCGGCAGCATGCGCCCATAAACAAACTATGCGTGCCTGTGTTTTTACTTAGTGCTGGGATGCCGCAGGCCTCCAGTGCCCACACATGGTTCTACAGAGGGTCTGTTTCATCACTCCGGTGCCCGCATCAAGTACCGTTGCGACCCAGGGTTTGAGCTGCAGGGGTTTCGTACTGCCATCTGCCTGAGTGACGGCACCTGGAGTGCTCCTGCCCCAGAGTGTGGTAAGATGAAACGTGATTTGTTCCTTCTTCTCTTAAACCACTGCAGAGTTGTGAAGTCATGCCTATTTTTGTACGTCCAAGAGATGGTGCAGATTATGGAAAAAAAAAMWYGCTTTTCTTTCCTTCACTCCAGTGCCAGTGGAAAGAGTTTGTACTCTGCCATCCAAACCAAGAAACGGTGACCACTTTTTAGTTTATGGACCCAACGATGTTCTCATTGCTCTTCAGTATTTGTGCCACCAGCCCTATGAACTCATTGGCGGCTCCCAGAGAACCTGCCTTCCTAACAATACCTGGAGCGGGACRCCTCCTGTTTGCGCTAAAGGTCAGTCAGAATGTCGTTACATAAAAAAATGACAAATACTGTGAAATAGTCATTTATTTTTGTTAAAAACAAAATATTTAAAGTGGCCGTGATATCAATTTCTTGTAAGAAATATGAATGAATTTTTTGAAAAATAACATTGAAATCATGTTGAAAAAAAATCACACTGCTGATCTGAGCAGTTGTTGAGATATTTGCATGTGCAGTAATAGGAAGTGATGACAAAGGGACATTGCTACAGTGTCTAACAACACAAACTGTTGTGAATAATCTGGCTTCTTTAGATTCTTTTTTGAGTCACAAAGAAAGAAGAGTTAGGGTTCAAATGAAGTTGTTTTGATAAACACAGACCAAAGTTTGCTTTCTTAAAGAGTTCCCCTTTTATGCCACTTCCTGTTTCACTTTGGATGAGACAAATTCAAAATAATTTGTTTTATTTATGTGAGAAAACAGGTAAAATCCTGTGGATTATGCAAAGTTTCTTAAACATAAAGTTTTTTTCTTTGTTTTTGTATTTGAAGGACATGCATGTCACAGGCACTTTATTAAACCAGTCAAAAGAGTTGAGCAAATTTAGGTAACTTAAGTACCGGTATGGAATCAGCAATTCAAAATATTGAATAAGTGAGTTTTATCCTTTCTTTTGATTTAATCCACAGTAAACAACACACTAAMCAAAGCTGAAAAAAAGAGAGAGAAGGGCAAAAACACAGATACTGACAAAGAGTTCACCAAAGCTCAAGGGAGACAGCAAAATACAACAGAAATAGAAAATGTTGGTGGGAAAGATGTCAACTCTGGTCTGGAGAGCACAACACCAGTCTACGTGGAAGACAAATATACCACTCCAGAAAATGCTGTGGATAAAGGCAGGGATGGAGGAGACTTAGAGGAGAAAAGTACAGGGTCAAAAGAGCCAAGAGAGGACAGAAAAAATGAAGTGGATCCAGACCATAATCTGAACACAGTTGAAGAGAAAGAACCAGAAGCAACAAAGCCACCCGAGGAAAAAGGCGGCAGCTCAGACTCTAACTTGGAGAAAGGGACGACAAACACCACAGTGACAGTGGTGAGAAAAGACAAAGGACAGGAGGACAAGGAGAGAAAAGAGGAGCAGATCAATGGGAAAAGGGATCCAGACAAGTTTGGTCCAAATGAAACCAAGCTGAAGACAGCCGTACCTGACGGTGGCAACACTGTGGAAATAGTTGAACTGGATATGACAAAGAACAACACAGTTACACAGGATTCAAAGGATACAAACAAAGAGAATAATACCATTGAATCTCCAACTTCAGGGAGAAAAGTCTTTCCCACTCGAGTTAATGTGACACAGTACACCTTGTATCGAGCAGAGGAGGAAACTGGGAAATCAAAGGAAAAGACATTTATTAAAAAGTTCGAAACTGGTGGAGAATCCTGGGAAAAAACAACAGAGATGGAAACAAAGAAGGAAGAAAAAGAAAAAGAAAAGGAGAGAGAAATTAATCAAAGTTTCATTGGTAAGAGCATAATGGAGAAATACAAAAGTGGATAAATTCCATGTCTGTCTTCACTCATAGCAACTTTTTTCCACTTCATTAGAAAGGCAGTGTCCTCCTCTGCCTCGGCTGTTCAATGGCTACCAGCAGGTGGTGCCAGGGATGGAGTCAGAAACAGTGGAGTTCATGTGCAACCACTCTTACGCTCTGAGTGGTGAGAAGAGGCGTACCTGTCAGCCAGGTGGGACATGGAGTGGCAAACAACCCATCTGTGTCAGAGGTACTGTCATTCATCTTTTGTTGTAATTTTAATCGTTTATTAAAATGTTTAAGCAACACTAAAATAACATTACCATTTTGATAGTTTAACAGCAAGTTCAGTGTTCTCTGGTAATAAAATACAACCAGTTGGGAATTGATTTGCATGTAGTGTGAAATATCAAATATTTTAGACCAAATCAGTTTCTCTGGTTGGTTTAGTTGCTACATTCAGATCAATGGGATTTGTTTGCATGAAATATGTTATGAATCTTCATATTACAAACTATATGTGTTTTCAGCATGTCGAGAGCCAAAAGTATCAGAGCTGGTGAAACATAAAGTCCTGCCTCCACGGGCACCATCCAGGTACGTTTTATAAAACATTACTATAAATGTGATAGGGAAAAAAAGTGCCCACCCTGTGACAATGGGAAAAAAAAAATCTTGTGGCCACAAGTTATTATTATGTGGCCACAAGATCATTTTGAGCAGCATGTGAGAAATGCAGACTTTGAATAGGTTGTTTTGTTTTGAACAGTTTAAAGGTAGCCTAACCATCACTTATTTGGTGAAAAACAGTTCATTTTTCATATTAGGCTATTTATGAGATGACAWWGAGCATCCTCGGCGTGTGTCAGGAAACAGCCTTTTTACTCTGTTCGTGAACACAACATAACTCTGACTCCTTCTGCAGCCAAGGCTCGGTGGGAGAGAGGAGMCTGTTTTGAGTTTTGAGCTTCAACAAAAGAAAACAAAGCTTTTTTGGACAAGTACAACTCCAGTCATCACCTGTGTCTTATACAGTAGCTGCAACATATAATGCTAAGAGTTACTTCATGCCCAACGTAACTGACTGGAGTATGTTATTCATTCTTGTATTCAAATAAAATGACTGYATTTATTCATGTATGATACGATCTTGAGTATAATACGATCATTTTTTGAGCTTAGAAAGCATAAAAAAATCTAATCATCAATAACCTGTGCATAATACTACCCCCACCCCACACATACTTTATGTATATTTTAAGTGTTAAATTTCTAGTATTATACATGAATAAATACAGTAAATTCATTCGAATTTGTCCATTTAAACAATCAAAAGTTTCTCCATAGAAATGATTGCAATAATTATTTTGTGGCCACAACATAATATGTCGTGGCCATGCATTATTATTGCTTGGCCACAGGATAAATTTTTTATATCTAATGTCATCCGATAGGCTCCAAGAAAAATTACTTCTGTGCAGTTATACATGCTGGTATTTACTAAAAATTAAATAAAGGGCATACAGAACATTTGTTTACAGTCCCAGAGCCTTTTATTCAGTATATGTTGGACCCTTTTGTCCCCCCCAGGAAGACGCCTTTGCACAAACTCTTCTCTTCTACAACTGGCCAGCAGCTTTGGTCTTCTGGTCCCACTAGAACCCCCCCAGAGCTTCCCGAATTGCCCCAGGGTTTCCACCATCTTTACACACATATAGAGTATGAGTGTGCGTCTCAGTTTTACCACCACTTTGGCAGTCCTCGGCGCACTTGCTTGCAGACGGGGAAATGGAGTGGGCGCCATGTCTCCTGTACACCAGGTGAGGGCAGCAGAGGACCACTGATAACCTGCACATATACTGTACTCTGTGACCAGTAGCAGCAGCATTTCATATAAATACAGTCACTTTTAATAACATAATTTAAACAAAGTTTGGACTTATTGTACTACTTTTGCATTTGAATCAGCAAACTTCTAAATATTAAAAATGGGTTTATAAAGAAGCAAATGTGATAAAAATGTTTTCCAATGTTCTTTTGTWGTAATTCTCATGAATGAATCAATGTAGAGACGATGTTTCTTTGTTGTATAACACTTCTCATTAATTTTTGTCTTTCTTTTTAGTTGTTTGAAGGATAAAAAGTTAAGTATTTATTTTGCTGGCAGGCTGTCAACAAGCTGTTTATGTAAAACTGTGCTATAGTTCTTTCCTCCGGTCAGAGACTCACACATGTCACACAGCTGTGGTTTTGGATGTTTTGTGTACTTTTTTTCCTTTGTGCCACTGATTTGCATTTTTGCATTCTTCAGAATAGCTGGAAATTCACAAACAACCCCTCAGATCTCAACACTGACCCTATAGAGCTAACCACTCTTGCTTTTCTTTCCCTCCATGTTTTGATTTTAGTCGTACCTCTCATCCTTTCACCTTCCCTTTGGCAGTGTGTGGGAAGCATCTAACCTTTGACCCAGAGAGGCCGGACGAGACTCACTGGCCCTGGCTGGCAGCCATCTACCGCCTCACCAGCAAGGGCACGGATATGAAGGTGGCCAAGGCAAACGGCCAGGTAGGGTCTGTGAAGAAGAACGGAAGACCCAGAAGTGACATCCTAAATCAGGCTTCTGACTGGCAGCTGGTCTGCAGTGGGGCTCTGGTTAACCAAAGAAGTGTGGTGGTTGCGGCTCACTGTGTAACAGAACTGGGCAAGGTGTATCCTGTGGATACAGCCACAATAAAGGTGGTGGTTGGGAAGCAGTATCGCGATGACAGCAAAGAAAGTAAAGGTCTTCAGCACTTGAGGGTACGTTTTTTTGATGTCTTGTTTTTATTTTCTATTCATCCACTTTGAAGTAAACTTGCATTGTGAGTCTGTGTCTTTCTCTCGCAGGCGTTGTCCATTGCTGTGCATCCAAACTACGACCCTAATATTCTCGACTCGGACATTGCGGTGATCAAGCTGTTTGACAAGGCAAGGGTTGGAGAAAAAGTCCTGCCGCTCTGTTTGCCAGAGGGCCAAGAAGAACAGGAGACATCTGGTCACGGACTTGTGACCGGCTGGTCTCCACTTCCTGATTTCAGTTTAGGTCCTGAGGAGAAAGCAAGGGTTGGGCTRGTTCACCTTGCTGATATCGTCCCGTGTGAGCAGCAATACGCTCGTAATGGTGTGTCAATCAGTGTTACAGACAATATGCTTTGCGCCAGCCAAAAGCCTGACTACAAACCGTCCAACATTTGTCCCTCTGACACTGGGGGAATCCTTGTCCTCCCCGCCCTCTCTGAGAATCAGGCCAACTCTAACTCAAAGCCCTCTCAGATTCACGGAAACGACAAAGGATTGTGGCGACTCCTGGGTTTAGTGAGCTTTGGCTACGACCAAGGGGAGTGTGATCCTGAACTCTACACCGTTTACACACATGTTGCTAACTTCAAAGACTGGATTCAGACTAATATGAAATAAAAACACGCCAGTCTTTCTTTGTGCTTTTTCAGAGCATTTATTCTATCCATTATCTGATGTAGAAGGGCATTTTCCGACTGAACGCAGGCGCAACACTGGACAATAAAATGCTGAAACTGAAGGGGGCGTTAGTACATTAGATGAGCAGAATCCACCTTTTATCTGAAAATTCAGTTTTTCTGCCTCAGTGAGAGGTTAAAGACTTGAAAATGATCATAAAACCTTTCAGCTGAGCTTTATCTTTTGGATTGTATTTAGTGTTTGTTTCAATGCTCGGAATTATATGAATTGATACAATGCAAAAGATGTACATAGTGTATCAAAAGACATAAAATATGACATTTTTATTAAAGGAAACTTTGGAGTGTTAAAGTTTACCTGCAATTTTTCTTCCTCAAATTATAATACTAATTATACAAACATGTCCAAATATGTTTCACTAAATATGTGACAAATTTAACAGTCTTCTCTTCCCTTTGTGCTCTAAAAAAATGTGTTACAAGATGAATCCCAATCAGAACAGGACAGAGCATATTATTCACAAATCAATTCCATCCTCAGCCTCAAGCTCAACAAGTTGTTTTCACTCCCTCCACTATTCAGAGCTGATTTTACTGATGTTGAAAAAAAAAACAAGTACATAAAATGTGATCATTGTTTGAGTTCTGCTGAGTTTCAAGACAACTCTGTTTAAAGGAAAACAAGTAAGCTGCAGAGAAGATGAAGTCCTAATAAATACAGAAGACACTGACACAAAAATAAATTTAAGCAAGTGTTCAAAAACCTGTGACTATGTAAAGGTGAAGACAATTCCGAGGACCAGGATTTTAAGAGAAATTTGATGAGGTTCTGTGAAGTTTACTGTACTAGAAAAAAGGCTTAGCAAAAGCAGCTAATGTAGCATTTGCTAGCATCTGGTTTGACATTTTTGATTTTGAGTCATCACGTTTGAGTAAATTCCACAAAAATTGAGGTCCCATTAAGATGTACAACTAAACACCAGCTCATAAAAGACTAAAATCTTAACACACAAAAAACAGAACATCACTTATGACAGACTGCATTTACTGTTACCTTTATGTTATGATCTATCAAAGACTTCTTTGTCTTCTTTTTAAGTCAACGTTGAATGTACCACAAGCCTGTGCTTCCCAGAAAACAGTCCCATCCACTCGAGGTGGGAGACTGTCTGTTCACAGGCCCCTGTAAGCCCACAGGGCATCATCAATAGAGACGGACAGCACTCAACCAAAGGCTGACTGTCCTTGTAAAAGAAGCATATCCCTCAGAGCAGGCCGGGATAATGGTGAGAAAACGTTACCATGAGAGTGTAGTTAGCAGTGGAGAGGCAGTGGGTTCAGAATGCTTAACACAAGACYTACATGGAATGTTTAGGTTTGCATCCAGTTTCTCAGCTGAGCTGCTGGGTCTCAGCGTGAACACAAAGGATCCAAACACATACTGATTATTAGTATTCTGGTCTGACCTGAAAAAAAAGGACATTCGTTATGTCAGGGAATCTCCTGCAAAACCTTAACGGAACACTTGTTTCACTGAAAAATTAAAAGTTAAAATAGTACTAAAAACATATTGATTCCTACAAAATAACATATTTATTTTTACGTGATGGCAATTTGCTTCAGTCAGCTCTGGACTGAAAGCAGTTTAACACATTGACTGTTTCTATAAAGCAATGAGGCTGTAATATATGCAAAATATGTTTCAGTGTTGTTTTACTGAAGCAGGGAAGAGCAACAATAATAAGACATCTGATGGGTCCTTCCAAATCTTATTTATTGCTGAGCCTTAATGGTGCCTATAAAGACGTGCAGGTTACCTTTTGCATGTATATGAGTGCATCCTCAGTTCTTCTTGAAAATTGCTTTAACATGGTTTGCTCATAGTCTGTTTGATGGAAACAGCTTAAACATGATTTCTAAGACAGATTTCCATCTTTGTCTTGAAGSAAATATTAAAAATATGTCATTTTATTTACTTGATGGCAAGTATGTGGATGCTTGAAAACAATAATTATTCAAAAACATCATTAAACATGTAAACAAATTACTGGATTCATCATGTTTCATGTAAAAGTATCATCAGCATAACAATGGAAAGTTATCCCATACTGTTTAATGAATTTACCTAATGGAAGCACATGTAAAGTAAAGACGATTGGTCCTGGCACTGAACCCTGAGGAACTCCATTACCAACTCTAATGTAACAGGAATTTTCAGACTCCTTGCTTTCTAAGCTTTTTTGTGTGTGATACCTGGCTCATCCTGATATCATTAGCTGTTCCAGAGACATGCCTTTATTTGTCTTGCTATTCACAATAATATTTGGTCTGAATCCTACTTTTAGTATTTTCTAATAGAGAATTTGTATGTTATTTTAAAGAGGAAACCTCAAACAATATTTGGATATTGAGATTTACCAGCTGAAAAAAAAAGGTTTGTGAGCACACAAGGAAAAAAAAATATTTATATATGCATGGTTTTATGCCCAAAATCAGGCATTTCATTGTTACTGTTTAAAAAGGGCTTCAAAAAAATCTTTAAGACAATATTTCATTCAAATAATACATTGGCAAAGCATTTATTTGTTAGATTTTTGACAAATCCCAATTATTGCAAACGTTTTAATTAGAATGTCTGAATTTTTCTCCACATACTACTTTGGTACTTAATCCTTGGTTTGATGTGAATGGTCACATTTCTCTGAATCCAACTCTCTCCTCTTTGTTTCTTCCCAAAAAAAAGTTTTAGGTTTGCCAGTGGTAGAAGATAAACTATTATGATTGTTTTTAAAACTTTTTAAGGTTAACCTTTAAAAACATTAATGACCAAATAGTAAGATGAACCTACAGTGAAATCCAGAATTTATGAAGCTAATATGTCTGTGGTGAAGAAATTACAATGCAATTGTATTACAAAAGTCCTCCTGGATACACATCATTTACCTTGACTTTAAATGTTTTTTATGACCTGGTCCTGCAAGAAAAAAAAATCTGAAGACTATTTTGCGTATAAATATTAATAATAAACACAGATATACAGTACATAAATACCAAACGGGGCATGGACTTTTTCCTTTTAATACTTGGGATTAGCTTTAGTTTTTGTCCACAACAATCAAAACAAAACATACATTCACTCATGCTTTTAACAGCAAGGAGGCAGAGCGCACATGCGTGTTTCAACATGCATAGCATTTTTATGGCACTGATGTAAATCTGCTTAATCCATACATGGGTTAGCCTTTAAACAGTATAGAAGCAGAGCAGCAATAAAGTACTTTACAGCTGTGACTGTTTGCCTCCAAATTACCTGTGCAGATGCTCACACGGAGCTCTTACAGGAGAGGAAATAAAGAGCATAAAATGAAACAGACAGCAGGAAACATCCCTGAAGTGTTTGTGTGGTTCCTTTAGTGGTTTTATGAGTCGAATTATTTGTCGGTGGGATAATAAAACAAATTTCAATAAAGCACAAGCTCGTCAGTTCATGACAATATTTATGTCACTTCAGTGAACTGAACACTGTGAGAATGAAAGAATGAGCAGAAGAGTCAAAGTGTCACACCTTGCTCCTCGTGTAAAAACGGTTTTAAAATAGACGTGCGACGTGATGCTGTTCCAGCTTGCAGGATTCAACATAACGGCACCTGGCATATTTGTATGTTTTCCAAGTGTTTATTAAAATWAAAAAGAAATGAAAACTGTCTGAGTCCAAATATTTAACATTAGAGTTATCAGCTTTTAATAGTTATAATGTTGAAGAGGAACCTGTGAAATAATTAAATTAAAAAAATCATTTGAAAGATTAGTTTTAGGGTTTATTGCAGGAGGAAAACAAACATCCATCCTATTTTATCCCCTTCTTCTTGGTCACAGGTGCCCTTATCCAGCAGTCACTTTGTGAGGGGTGGGGTACACCAGGTCCCAAGTCCATCACAGGATTCATGGAGACAAACAACCATTCACTAACAGTCATGATTTTGGTCTGTGGGAGGAAACAGGAGTACCCTGAGAAATCCCAAGCATGAACAGAGACAACATGCAAACTGTATCCAGAAATGATTTGATGCAGCRGCATTCTTCCTGAGAGGCAAGAGCTCTACCAACTGAGTCACCCAAAACATGTTTTTTTTATTTTAATTTTTAATATTTTTCCTCTCAGTAGAATGAGAGAGACCAGTTGTCATCCCTTAAAACTCTTTAATACTGATGGCAAATTAAAGCTAAATTAAGTTTGCATCAAAGGATTCCTTGCAGCCTGACCAAGTCCCTATAATAAATCTTGAATAAATTTTAAACCTTAATTCAGGAGTTAAAATTGCCATCTAGACTTATCACAAAAGCTAAACCATTTATACAGATCAAATTTTGGAAATGCAATTGGGGCAAAATGATGCAGGTGAACAGAGTGAGTGAGAGAGAGAGGGAGGGTAAAATAAAGCATCACTTAAGAAGTAAGAAGACAGC